GCTGAGTGATGACCTGAGAAGAGATGAGTGAGCACCTTGTCAAGATCTGTAAGCTACTGTCAGTGCAGAGCAGCAACCTTGGCTTCCTGGAAATTCAATGTCCTTTCCAGTTAATGACTGTTCCTCTCCAGCCCTATGAGCTGACATTGCTGCCAAGATATTGATATGCAGCCCCCCAAAGCCATGATTATAAAGGCTCTGAAAACATTAGGAAATAGAACCTAATAAAATAATATAGATCCTTATATTATTTTATATTATTAAATATACAATTCTAAGTGTATCCAATTCTGTTGACCATTATTGAAATTATAAAGAACACTTCCTGACTCAATTCCCTTAAACATCTTAAGAAAAATCCTCAGTAATAATGTGATCATTTAAAAAAAAAACATTGAAAACATTAACTAATTGCATCTGTTCTGAAGAATAACTCACAGTGCCAGGATTAAAATGAATTAATTTTTTTCAGTTTAAATTTTTCATCAGATTTCCAAAATGTTTCAAACCTGTACATGTAAAATATACCATATGAAAAGTAGAAATGAGTTATTTTAATTCTAACAAACATTTAAAATGAAGTAATGAACATCATATATACACATATACACAACACATGAAAGAGAGAGAGTAGTTTTGTTTTATTTTGTTTTTGAGACAAGGTCTTTCTTTCTTTCTTTCTTTCTTTTTGAAATATAAAGGCTCATTTTATTTTTCCAAGGCGTTTCTTTTCTTCTGTCTTCTTGAAGCCATCTCTTTACATGGGCTTTGGTGGCGGTCGTGGTGCAGCACCAGCAGGTCTAAATCGTGGTGGGGGGGTTCGGTCCTTCCGGGCTTCCCGAGATCGATTCCTGACTACTTTGCTATGAATAGCACAGCTCACACAGTAATGCAGCTTGACATAGAACTTGGGAAGAACGTAGGCGTCGAAGACGCTGGCTTCGGATATGTCCCTGACAGCAGCGGCCTCTACGATGTTCCAAATGACGAACTTCTTGATGGCCTTGTCCTTGGGCACGCACCGGGCGCAGTTCGTACAGCGGATCGGCTGCACATGGCCACGGCCCTTTTTGGCTCGCCCGTTGTTCCGTCTTTTCTTGGTCATCTTAGATCCAAGACCCGAAAGCGAGACAAGGTCTTACTGTTTATCACTAACTTTCCTGGAAATTTATATGTAGTCTGGGTTGGCCTTGAACTCACAGAGATATACCTGTTTCTGTCCCCCCAAGTACTGGGATTAAAAGAATATGCTATCATACTTGGCTCAGATACACAAATACATACATAGTGCATATATTTAAATTTTTTCATTTCTGCATATGTGTGAATATGTTATGTGTGTACATGTGTGTATGTGTGAGTGCATCTGTGTGTGTGTCTGCATGCATGCATACCTGTGTGTGTACACTTGCACATATGCCTAAGGAAGCCCAAAGAGCTAGGTCTGAACTCGGGTCCTCTGGAAGAGCAGGAAATGCTCTTGACTGCCTAGCCATCCCTCCAGCCCCCTTCAGATGTATTTCAAGTTTTTCTTTGCTCACTAGTTCATTTCTGAATTCTAAGGGGAAAGCCTGAAAGGACAGAGTGTGCACCCTCCACCTTGCACATTGTAGAATGCCTCTTGAAAATAACACTTCCTCAAAAACCCAAACTTGGTTTTGTGCACTTGACTTAGAAGTCTTTCCAACATCTGAATTTGGCTTCTTGGAAATGTCATGTATTTTTTAATTCTTAGTTTAGAAGATCCCCCATTACATATATGTTCAGGTAACTTAGGGGTAAAAAGTTGGTATCCAGACTTTGTGTAGCTGCATTTGCAGTAAACCTCAGAGAAAAGCTGTCAAGTAACCAAAGCACTTTAAGTTTGTGTCTGTCATCGGGCAAAGGTTCAGCGTACATCATGCCTGTCATCCCAGCACCTGGTTAGTGGAAGCAGGACCCTCTGGAGTTCAGGGCCATCCTTGGCTACACAATGAGCTCAAGGCTACCCTAAGCTACTTGAAACCAACCCTCTCCCCCAGAAGAACTCCGAATAAACAAATTAATTAATGAAATACACTTATGGTTCTAGATATTCTATCATGCTATATGCATTGACATGCAAATGTTCAAAGAGGATTTTATAGTTACTTGATAATTTCTTACACGTTTCTAGATCCGATAGGGAAGTTCTCTCCTCTTCTACCCATCCATTTTTAATATGTTGCTTAGCTGCCATAACAACACAGTTACACTGATGTGTTTTGCAAAATGAAAAACAAAAATAATTGACCAACCCCTATCATGAATGAATGAAAGATCTAGATACACATATCAGGCTAGTTCCTTTCTTTTCTCCAAAGTCATATGTATAACATGCAAGAAGATGTGGTGTTTTAAAAGATAATGCAGGCACAAATGCATAATTTTTAAGGAAATAATGTCAAAATGAAATTATTTTTTTCTTCCTCAAATTCAAAATCCACATTAACATTTCACCATAGTTAAAAAGAAAACATTCCAAATCTGTTTTGGGGTGTTCTTAAAATATTAATATGCTTCAAAATGAATAATTTAATTCAAATATTTTAGTCACTGTAAAAAAAAACCTGTTAATGTTCACTCACTATGAAACTCTTAAGTTTATTGTTGGTTGGCATAATGAAAATTATTACCACTTGTGCTTATATCATAAAACAGATTTTTATTTGCTTTGGATATGAATGAATTAAAGATTAAGATTCCCATAACAAAGGCCCCTAGCCTCTTGATTAAATCTGAATTTCTGATTATGTAAAATAGAGGTGAATCTGCCAGCATGTTGCACTTCAAACATTCACAAAACCGTGCTACAAAGCAAGTAAGGAGGAAATGAAGGCCGTGTTTTCTTATGTAACATAAACAAGCTAAAATAAAAATGATAAATCCTGCAAGACACAAACTTGTCATTCACTGAAGAAAAATAGGAAATGATGAAAGTGAGACAAGGAGAAGATAATAAGAATGAAAATAAACTCTAAGAGTCTGGATTTAAGTCTCTAACTCTCTGGTTAAGAGTCCTCAGCTCTGAGCTCAGCCACTGGTTCTAGCATCTTACTGGTGCTTCCAGAGAGAGGTAGGGGAATCCCCAAAGATGGTCTTTGGACACACAGACAAGCACACTGGCCAATCTGTCCAGGCCTTCAGCTAAGACCTTAGAGGGAAGCAAGCACCTTGTCCATTGTGTACACAGAGAAGGGAATCACAAGGCTGCAGGAGTGAAACTTCGTGCATGAGGATTTCTCCAGAAGCCCACCTGTTTCCCTCTGCTGTTCTCCTGAGACCTAGACTGAGCTCTCACAAGCTCAACATAAAATGGGGTCCAAAGAAGCAGAAGACAAATCATGGGGGAAATATGTATGTAATATTCACCTTATAAATGTACTTTTCATAGGAACTCTATAATTTTAGGAAACTTGCTTATGTTGGCTGGTTTCCCACAATACACTTTATTTAAAATTTTGCAAGTCTTCAATCAAGTCCGTTACATTTCCTACTGATCAGCCTGAATAAAAAAGAAGCTCAGAAATGTATGGTGGTTAAAGGACCAACCAGTTAGTGAACATTGGATTATAGTTGTGTTCACACTCTTTGTGCACATGTAGGGTTATATAGGACATCCTTTTCCCTCCATCCTCTCTTTCCTTTACCCTTTCTATTTCTTCAAAATTGAAAGTTATATAAATGCAATTGAATTCATCCATGTAATTTTAATAATATGGGTAATTGCATGAAAATTGTTTTGTTGTGCCAGTCGCTTGCAATAATTGCTTTAAAAACATACGAACAGAAAAGACCAAACAAGATATAAATTCCATCCCTTCAACTTACTGCATGAATTCTACAACTATCTCCCCTTCTTCAGGCTACGACACATTGTGCCCTTACATATGACTGTGTGGTTTGTCTAGCTGTCAGTCCGTAAGTATCTTTGAGAACAGGAAAAGAACTAGTAGGTAGGCGCATGCGCATGTGTGTATAAACACGTCTGTGTGTGTCCTCCCACACCCACTTCCCTAGATTGTTCTCTGTAGAAATCTCCTTCTACATGGGCCAAGGGCCAAGGAGAGCCCGAGGACTTCCCTGACCTAAGCCAAGGGTGTACAGTGTATTAGGCACCGTCAGCAGGGTGCCCAAGGGACCACGTGGGAAGGAGGAACTGAGCAGGATGCACGGAGGGGGCGGGGAGCTGGTAGCAGGAAGTCCAACACTGTTGCTGTATTTCGAAATCTGCAAAGACTTCCCAGGACAAACACATTCTCAAGTGATGCCTCTAAGACCAGCCAGAACACAAAGATCTACCCTGGGTTTATATAAACTTTACCCAACAAGGAGAAACCACAGAGAGAAAGCTCAGCCCTTCTGCTCACTTATGTGCTTAATTACATCTTCAAGATAAGAAATAACTTCCAAAATTCTTCTGCTCTCACGTCTACAGCTTTCAGAACATTCTCACCTCCACTTCTACACTGAAACTCTGTAATGCTTGCTTGGGATCCATTGTGGCAGCCAGTAGCTCTTTCTTGGATGCTAGTGTTGGCTAATACCCTGAAGCTTTACACACTTAGCATATCCCCAATGCCCACTGTGAAACAGGGCACTCAGCTGAGGCTGTAACTCTCAGTAGTCCTTCTCTTTAGCAAGCTCTTCCTCCCTCAGCTTTTCTCATGCTTTCCAGTCTTATTTTTCAACTACATTTCCGACAGCTTGGTATGGTCTACAAGTACAGCTTGTAGAAGTCCAGAAGTCTCATGCTCAAGACTTGGTCCCCAGCTGATGGATCCAAACATCAAGAAGTGACTGGATCATGAGGGCATGGCTCTAACATACGGACTCATCCATTGAGGGATTAATAACGTAATGACATTTGGGATGAAGCAGCAGAGGCCTGGTTAGAAGCAGTAGGCAACTGAGGGCTGGGCTCTGAAAACTTCCTTATCCCTGGCCTCTGTTTCCTGGTCACCATGAGGTAAGCAGCTTTGTTCCACCATAGTTCCACAGGGATGTAGCCAAGTGGCCATGGGCTGAACCTCTGTAACTATAAGCCAAAATAAATGTTTCCTTTTCAATGGCTTCTTTTAAGTACTTGGGACAAACATTAGAAACTAGCACATAACTAAAATACTTCGGATACTGGATTTGAATTTCAAGGCCAAGTGGAGCATCTGATTCCCTCCACACTTCTTACCTTTCTGGTCCAGAATTAACATTATTCCCAGGACCCTTTGTTCAACTCATACTACTGCACTTATAGAAGTCTGCTCTGGATTTTAGTTAACTGAGGATGTATGTGATTCCCCAAATAATATTTAGTTATTTTTGGTAGAATGATTCTCATACTTCAATATGGCACTGAGTTGGCATTCTTTAATTTGAATTGATTCTCTGACATTTACTAAAGGCACTTAATGGAATTGTTATCTTCTTTTTGTTTCTCATCCCTCATAGCTTGTCACAGAAATCCTGCAGATCAGATAATTTGTTTACTATGATCTCTCAGATTTATCTCCTTATTTGTGTTCCTATAGCCATCTGAGCTCAGAACTTTGTAACTTCTCACACAGACTTAGCAACCTCCCAGTTTATCTACTTGTAGTTCTTCTGATTTTCCTCTACAATTCTGTCAATAAATAAGCTTTAATTAGCACCTCCTCAAAAAAAAGAGTAAGCCCATTGTGTGTCTCCTTAGCTCCAAGGTGTGCTAACATTCCTCCAGTTCTCTCCAAAACAAAGTATTTGATGACATGAAAGGCTAGCTCTGCTCTTTAACCAACTCTGTTTCTTCTTCCACATCTTCTCCCTATTTATCAAGGATATTTCTCATATATGCTGCTTGCTCTCTATTTCATGTTTAGAACAATAATATTCATCCCATGCCTTACTCTAGGTGGGTGCAATTCTTCCCACTTGACAAGATTTCCCCTTTCTTTAAAACCATTCTTAGGAAATCCCATCTGATCCTCCAGCCCACTGACTCTAGGACACCCTGGAGAGCAAGAATGTGGTTTCTTTCTTCTTGTATTCACAAAGCTTTCTCTTCAGACATTCTGGACTGCATGGCTACCAACTTCCTTATATTCAAGTCAG